TAAATATGAACAAACTTCCTCTTGTATTATGTTTTAGCAAATTATTTATTTTTGTTAAATTGTAGCAACATTTCTTGATGAAGAAATCTATGAAATAAAACAAAACAAAACCCTAAAAAATCGTTTGACATTTTCCAAAATAAAAAATCAAAATTTTCAATATGATTTTGGTTTTACAAAAAAATGAATCATTCACACTGACGTGAATTATGACCATTGGTTTGGCATGCAGAATTTGTGATATCCCATGAATACGTAGTTACAACATCATCTGAACTCGTAATTCATAGTATGGGGTTAGAGTATCATCGCATAAATATGTAGTTACAACATCGCATGAACTCGTAATTCATCACCTACAGGTTATGGGTCTACTGGTGTTTCCACTGGGTTGTTTAGAATAGTCCGTGGTCACCATCTATACTCTGGTAGATGACTACATCGCCACATTGCCAGTTAAGGTTATGGTATCTCCTTTCATCCTACATTACCTATTCATCATCATCTATTTACCTAATTATCATCACCTTTCTATCATCACTTATCTCTCATCATTTTATTTAATCACACACCAACTATTTCATCTACCCATGTTTCATCCGCAACATATTTGTAGATATAAAATATATATACCATTTAAATCTTTTAAAACATGTATAAAATTGTTCATCCAACATAGACACTAAGTATTCAAATAATATGCACACATAGTACATAATTTATATAAAATACTTCATATTTATGTGTAAGATGAAATAACTATATATACCATAAAAATCCCATAAATGCTTCCTAACTTCAAACCCCAATGTTTACTCTACTAATGCTTCATATTCTCGGCTCTCTGGACCTAAAAGGGTCCAGATTCCTAACTTCAAACCCCAAGGTTTACTCTACTAAAGCCTCATACTCTCGGCTCTCTAGACCTAGAAGGTCTAGATCTATAACACAAACTTGCAAGAGGGGTTTGAGGCATTCAAAACCCCAAAGATGAAGTGATTCAAGCCCTAACCCCAAAATGGAATCTACACAATAGGTCTTCCTCTCACTCTACACACTCGAGCTCGCTAGGGTCCTCACTTATGGGAAAGGTAGTCGCAATTGAAGGCCATAAGTTCCTTTAAATATGGCTCGGGCCCAAAGATTTAGGGTTTCTGCCAATAGCGTGGACTCATCGAGTTGCCTCACTGATTCGTCGAGTCCATTCATTAATCTTAGTCATTAGTCGCGACCTTACTCGATGAGTTGAGGCCTCAACTCATCGAGTCATTCTTCTTAAATCAAAAGAAAAATACTTAAATTATGATACCTGGAAATCCGGATGTTAAATTTTGTTTTTTTATTTCATAGATTTCTTCATCAACAAATGTTACTACAATTAAACAAAAATAAATAATTTGCTAAAACATAATACAATAGGAAGTTTGTTCACATTTAGCCATTGAACTTTTTAGAGGGAAACGAACTTTCGATTTTGTCCACATTTAGTCACTAAACTTTTTTTCGTTATCTATTTGCCACTAAACTATTGAAATTGTTCACATTTTACCCTTATGACCGGTAACAGCAGGTCATAATGGTAAAATGTGAACAATTTCAATAGTTCAATGACAAATAGATAACGGAAAAAAAATTAGTGACTAAATGTGAACAAAGTCGAAAGTTCGTTACCCTTTCAAGTCATTATCCCAAAAAAAAAATTATGACTAAAATTTGAAATATAAAACAAGCCAGGATGTGAAAACGTAAAATTACACTATTTATCAAGAATTTTGTTTTTTTGTTTTAATATATACTATAATATTATAAGTATTTCGAAAACTTATTGTCTATAAGCAATTATCAATGTTCTAAATAACGTAAGGCGTGACTTGGCTGCAATGTCAAGCCTAAAGCTTTTCCGAGTCTTGATGAGTCACGTCGTTTGTAAGGCGTGACTTAAGGCGGTAATTTTGCATATAATTCATATTTCTATATGTATTTTCAACTATTATTTATTTTTATATACATATATTAGTCAAGGCAACGTTTTAATAAAGCTTGACAGCAGATACAAAACTTGAAGTCATGATACACTTTTTAGAACCTCACAATTATATGACCCTAAATTACCTATAACTGCAATCTATGACATCTGTCTCCTATTTTTCTAATGTTATGTTTTTTTCTTTTTGGGTCCAATGTTCTAAAATAGTTATCTAAATTGATAATTGTACTAAGTCTTTTAAACATGAAACTAAACCTTATTAAATACTAATTGGTAATCACGTTTGTTTTTCTAATAACTAGATTATATATGCTTAAATAGTATTGGAAATATACCGTAAAGTAATACAGAAATATTTTAAATAGATAATTTGTACTCAAATTATTAGTTTATAAAACATAGAAAAGCAGCTCTTACCATTTCTAAAACATGTAAATATTTGGTTTTGCATAAATCTTGAAGTGACAGAAATTAGGTTTTTATAAAAATATGAACTAATTGACTAATATTTCAAAAACTAATACGTGTTCCCGGACCCGGAAAAATAAGTTATTCCACTGGGCTTTGGTCCACCATTGTTGAAAACAAATTCGTGTAGCCCACTAGTTATTTGAATATTGGCCCATATGCATGAATAATAAACGCAGAAGTACAACACAAAACACAAAATGCTTCATTTCGCCAACCATAGGGTAATCGCAATTGATTATGGTGAATCACCAGAATCAATGGCGATTTACTACATAGCTAGCCAAAGGATGCATTTTGTGTTGTATCATATGGAACGGTTTTATCTTAAAACAAATGCAAAACAACTACCATATTCTTATCGAAATTGTTGTCATTTAATATGTTTTGTGGGTTATTATCGTTAAACTTAAACTCTTCGGGTTTAAATAAAGCAAAGGACTCCTCTTAACGTAAGATCCGACCGTGTGTGCGAGAAAGTTCTTTTACTTTTTGTCTGTCATGTGAAGAGGTTTGTTAATCGAGAATGAAATGAAAATAAAATGAAATCAAAGTTGTAACGAATTAAGAGCACTAAGAGTAATCTTGTTTCAGCTCTATTATGTTTTTCAATACAGAGAGTATTACACAAGATACAATTGGGAAAATTCTTATCTAACTCCAAGTATCATCTCCTATTTATAGGAGAACTGAAAAACATACAAAAATACAAATGACTAACCATTACATTTTCGAAATCAAAATGCCTTTGTACACAATATAACATCTACTTTCGGACATTACACAAACTTCGACACCTTACAATACATTTCGAACCCTACAATCCCCCCCTTTGTAAGTTGTGTCGAAATCAGTTGATCAAAACTTGAGCAACCATATCTAATGTTCTTTGAATCTCTGCATACCAATTCACCACCTTCTTCATCTCTGCCTTGTTAGCTTCATTATTCTTCTTACAAATATTCATTCTCACAATCAGATTTATATAATGTGCAGAAGTGTATTTTTCGACATCACCCAACTAAAATAAGAGTTTCTTCCTTTTTCCTTTCTTGGTCTTTCCTATGAAAACAATACCAAAAGGCTTCAGGCAAATCTCTCCATCAAAATAGTTCTTCAACTCAGCTTGACTTTTTAACTCATATATCAAAACATGGACTTCTTTTCCGACTGGCAATGCCAACTCCACATCTGTTAAGGCTAGACAATCATAGTAATTGTGTATAAAAATCTTGATATGCCCTAATCCAAGACGTAACACCTCTTTGCTTATTTCCTGGAGTTTTGAAGCATCCATATCTTTGAGAATTGTTGCTACTTGGAGCAAATCATTCAGGTTCATCTGAGAGAAATCTGCAATTGAGAAGTCAAATGCAACATTGTTTGTCCTCACTACATGATATCGAAAATTGTGTATCATATTCTCAAATAACACATCCTTTGATATGCTAATTGCTTGCATAATCTTCACAAGAGACAAAACTTCATCAGGTTCCTTTCCTAACACTGCATGAAATCTCAACTTCATATGAATGTAATCATCTTGATCCTTGAATTTATCAGTAATCTTGTACTGAGCCGTGATAAACATTATTTCATTTATTAGGAAATCAAGCTAATTCGTATCAGTATTCTCTGTAGCATAACTCCTTCTTGGCTTTTTCTCGAAGTCATGCATTTCGTTATAAGAAACCCTTGCCTCAATATTCTCATAATTGTACAATTTCCTCATATCTCCTTTGTTCAAATTTGGAGGACCATTTTGTCGAAGCCTCATCAAGCTCTGAATTTGCCTCCATTTTTCCATTTCAGCTTCAACCTCTGCTTTCCTCTCTTCTTTTGATTTTTCAACAACAATTACTTTCCCTCTATCCATATTCGTTGTAGTTTGCTTAAGTTTCAAAGAACGACCTTCACCAATTGAACCAATTACAATGCCTTTAGAAATTAGTCTTGTAGTTGTAACAGTAGATATCATAGGATCAACCTTCGAAATTATCGGTTTTGAAATAGGAACATGAGATGAGAACACATTTACAAGAACATTTGCTTTTTCACCAGTCATCCCAGAAGCACCTTCTCCTTTTCCAACAAACCTTCTCTCTCCCCCTTGCACCCATGTGACAACAAGTGGGGCATTCGTTGGTAAAAGACTAACAAGCTCAGCCAGTGGAGCTAGCTCCTTCTGAAGAGTAGTTTCAAACAAGGGAAATTTTTGAGTTAAGAACTCGGGAGTTATACGAGAATAAGAACCCGACTTTGATACTAAGTCTTTGAGTTCTCCTAACAACTAAGTTATCTTTGAAAAACTTGTAACTTCATCCGCAAACATTTGCTCAACTTTTAGACGAAGGGCTTCGTAGAGTTTAACAAACTTGGTAACCGCATCAGCTATAATGTCAACCTTTCTGACGAAGAGAGGCATAATCTTGTTGAATAACAATAATTTCATTGCTCATATCCTCCCTAAGTTCTTGAAGTTTTAAGTTTACATCCTCTCGTACTTTCTTGACATCTTGAATTAACAAAATGTGCCTTTCCTTTGCTACATCCTTAAAGTGTTTAAATTAGAGCAAAATGTGGATAACTGATTCTTCACCCTTTTCTCATTATTTCTATCCGCATTCTGAATCTCATCATGAAGACGATTTTCTTGACGTTTGAGCAGTATGTCCATCTCCAAACTTGATATCGAATTTTTCCCTCTACCATTAGCTTGAATTTGTAGCAGAGAATTGAGCTTTTGATTTAAAATTTCGAATTGTTTCCCTGTTAGAAGCATGTTATCTAGAATTTCCTCTTCTTCCACATCAAATTTAATGTCATCAGAAGTTCCATCAAAGACATTCTCATCATCATCAATTGGACTATGAGTTTCGTCATGAGTAACAAGTGGTTCAGTAGATTGTGAAGAAAATAAGGTAGTAATAGGTTCATTAAGAATGTTATCGAAAGTAGATGAGTGGGAAGCAATTGGATTAGAAACAAATGGCGGTAAGGTTGTAGAAGTGTCGATTGTGGAAGTTGAGAAGGTAGAAGAAACAATAATAGATGTACCTTGATCATGTGAAGTTTCGATGGTAGAGATCAAAGGTAGAGAAACAACAATTTGTTCTGGTGTAGACAATTGCAAAGAAACAACAATCGTTTCGACATTTGATTTTCTGGAGAGGTTAGAATAGGAGAATTCCAAACTACTTCCTCTTTAGTAGACTCATCATTAATCACTAGCGTTCGACGTTTCTTCTTCTATTTCTTCGAAATACATTTTGCCATGTCTTCTACTTTTCGTTATTTTGTAGATGGAGAAACCGGAACAGGAACTTCACGAATCACAACACCTTTTCATTTAACATGTCGCTTGCAAACCATAAAAAAGAAAAAAAAACTAGGAGACCTTTCAGAAGAACTTCATGACATATGAGCTTTCTTTTTTATATGTTTGAGCACTCCAGTTTTTGTGTAACAACTTGAATTTTCAAAAAAAAATTTCATTTTTCAAACAACATAAACCATCATTCAATATTTTGAAATCACATGTGTAACAAATGTCATTGTAAAAAAATACATCCCATGATCATAAAACAGTTCCTTCGTCAGTGTGTACAAATCACGTCGGCGCCTTCCCACGGTCCTCGCTAGTACCTGAAACACATAACACAACAACTGTAAGCATAAATGCTTAGTGAGTTCCCCAAAATACTACTTACGCACATACGCCTTTCCAGGCCCTGACCTTCCAGTCCATGTGTCTCAGGGGACTTCCGTCCCGACTCGGAAAACCTTCCGGTCCTACCTGCATCAACCTTACGGTCTACATCACAACGCCTTCTGGCCCATAACATATATGCCTTCCGGCCCATAACATAATGCCTTCCGGCCCATATCAAGCATAGCATACATAGCACATACAAACGACTAACTTATCATATACAATGCATTCACTCATAACATATTCGACCTTCCGGTCACACAATAAAACCCTTCCGGGTACAGTATAGTGAGAAAACTCACCTCGTGGAAAGTCTAGAATCTCACGTGCTCGCTATCTCCGAATCCCAACGAAGACTCAACATCGCCTAATCATAACGAATATCATTTTAATTAATATAGACTTCCACAACTAGACTTTACCCCTTATTTTCATTCCTCAGAGGGGTAAAAGACCATTTTACCCTTCCTTGACTCAACGTCCACATGTTGACCAAAACCCTAAAAGTCAACAAAAGTCAACATCTTCAGTACGCGGGGCGTACAGACTGATGTACGCGGGGCGTACATCGCCAACCCAAAAGTCGGGGTCTCCACCCAGTACGCTGCGCGTACTGGGAGTTACGCCCAACGTAATAGTTAGATCTAGCCACCCTTCATTTCTGGTCTTAATCAGTTAAGTCACTTCTTCAACTTCTAGATCTAGCTTCCTTTAAGCCTCCTCACCCATAAAGTCGAAACGTTTAATCCTTCGCATGGCTGTAAAGGCTCCTAGACTCCTTAACACCTTTCCATTACAACTCAAAAGATCTAGGTCTCTTGCATGGCTAATCCTTCACGTCCAAGATTACATTTTTATGAATCTACAACTCAAATGGACCAGAAATATGGTGGATCTAAGCTAATGGAGACTACTTGCTCATAAAGTCTCCACCTTTGGGACCAAAACCCTAGAAAATGGTCCATAAAGCATACCACAAGAACTACAAGTCAAGATCCGAACCTTTTACCTTAGAATGAAGCTCCAACCTTTTCTAAACTCAGATCTACACTTGAACACCAACTTCTAGCCTCCACAATGGACTCCTCTTCTCCTTTGCTACCTTGAAATGACACCACCAAGCTTAGAACACTCACAAATAAGCTAGGAACGAAGGAACACTTTCTTAGGGTTTCTTTCTGAGGGATGGTGGCTGAGGAACCAAGCCATCTCATTCCTTTTATAGCCAACCACAAAAATTAGGGTTTTTGGGTCTGGACCAGTTACGCCCAGCGTAACCTTGGGTACGCCCAGTGTACCCGAGGGAGGATGCGTTTAAATGAAGCGCGCGAGTACGCGCAACGTACTCCTTGTACGCCCAGCGTACTCACCCAACACAAAAGCCCTTAAATGACAATAAAAATAAAGATGAAGGGCCAAATAAAGTTACCTGGATTTTGGGCTGTTACAATTATCCCCCACTAGAACCAGACTTCGTCCCATAAGTATTACACCGAAAATAATTCCGGATACTGCTCCCGCATCTTAGACTCAGACTCCTATGTCAGCTCGGACCCCTTCCGATGTTGCCACTGCACTTGCACCAAGGGCACTTCCTTGTTCCTCAGAACCTTAACCTTTTGATCCCTAATTGCCACTGGGCTCTCAACATAATTCAGGCCTGCATCCACCTGAATATTATCTAATGGCACCACTGCCGACTCGTCGGCAATACATTTCCTCAACTGCGACACATGACAGGTGTCGTGGATCTGAACCAACTCAGCAGGTAGATCCAACCGGTAGACTACCCTACCTACCTTAGCGATTACCCTGAAAGGTCCAATATATCGAGGTCCCAACTTGCCCCTCTTCCTGAATCGTATCACTCCTTTCCAAGGAGAGACCTTTAAGAGCACAAGGTCACCAACCTGAAACTCGAGCTTGGACAGATGCCTGTCCGCTTAACTCTTCTAGCGACTCTGAGCGGTCAACAATCTCTGCCTGACCTACTGTATCTGCTCGGTCGTCTGAAGCACAATCTTTGTACTACCCATTACCTGTTGCCCCACCTCTCCCCAGCAGATGGGGGTGCGACACCTCCTCCCATACAACAGCTCAAAGGGTGGCATACCAATGCTCGAATGATGGCTGTTGTTGTACGAAAACTCTGCTAAGGGTAAATAGGTGTCCCAACTCCCTCCAAAATCCAAAACACACGCCCGTAGCATATCCTCGAGAGTCTGAATCGTCCACTCGCTCTGTCCGTCCATCTGCGGGTGGTATACAGTATTGAAGTGCAGCCTCGTACCCAACTCCTCGTGAAACTTCTTTTAAAACCTGGAAGTAAATCGTACGTCCCAATCTGAAACGATCGACATTGGAACCCCGTGCCGCGATACCACCTCCCTCACATATAACTCTGCCAACTTCTCCGCAGAAGAGCTGTCACTGATAGCTAGAAAATGAGCGCTCTTCGTCAATCTATCCACAATCACCCAAATTGCATCGACCCCTCTCGCAGTCCTTGGCAATTTGGTGATAAAATCCATGGTAATCTGTTCCCACTTCCACTCGGGAATCTCCAGCGACTGCAACTTACCATGCAGATGCTGGTGCTCGGCCTTAACCTGGCGACAAGTTAGGCACCTCTCGACGAACCATGCAACATCCTTCTTCATACAGTGCCACCAATACTCCTTCTTTATGTCCAAATACATCATAGTAGCCCCAGGATGGATCGAGAATTTCGATCGATGCGCTTCTTCCATCAAAATAGTACGTGTCCCGCCCACAAATGGTACCCAAATCCGACCCTGAAATGTCATAAGTCCTCGGCCATCAGTAACGAATTCCTATATGCCCGACAACCCGCTCCCTCTTTCGGTTTTCTGGTCTCGCAGCCTCAGCCTGGGCCCCTCGGATGGTGTCCAAAATCGAAGTCATCACCGTCAACCTCATACAGACGTCTCGGATCGGGGCGTTGTCCGCCCTACCACTCAACACATCGGCTACAACATTAGCCTTGCCCGGGTGGTACAAGATCTCACAATCATAGTCTTTCACTACATCTAACCATCTCCTCTGGCGCATATTCAGATTTGGCTGATCCATCAAGTACTTCAGACTCTTGTGGTGTGTGTATATGGTACACCGAAGCCCATAAAGATAGTGTCGCCAGATCTTAAGGGCAAACACCACAGCCCCCAGTTCCAGGTCGTGGGTGGCATATCTCAACTCATGAGCCTTCAGCTGCCTCGATGCATACGCTATAACGTGTCCCCTCTGCATAAGCACTGCCCCTAATCCAGATATAGATGCATCACAGTATACCACAAAATCCTCCATCCCTTCCGGGAGTGCGAGCACTGGGGCCTCGCACAATTTCTGACTAAGGGTCTTCAATGAGGACTGCTGCTCCGGAACCCATGAAAATGCAACACCCTTCTGGGTCATCTTGATAAGTGGCACGGCGATCTTGGAGAAATCCCTGATAAACCTTCGATAATAGCCGGCCAATCCCAAAAAGCTCCTGATCTCAGTGGGCGATCTCGGCACTTCCCATCTCATCACCGCCTCGATCTTGGCCGAATCGACCAATATCCCCTTCTGGTTAACAAGGTGCCCTACGAACTGGACCTCTCGTAACCAGAAATCACACTTGGAGAATTTTGGCATACAGCCTCTCCGATCTCAATACTCCAAGAATCTCCCTCAAATGTTCCTCATGATGCTCCCTAGACCTCGAATATATCAAAATATCATCAATGAATACGATCACCGACCGATCCAGCATCGGCCTGCACACCCTGTTCATAAGATCCATGAACGCAACTGGAGCATTGGTGAGCCCAAAAGGCATCACCACAAACTCGTAATGCCCATAACGAGTCTTGAATGCAGTCTTCTGGATATCTTCATCCCAAACCCTCATCCGATGATAACCCGACCTCAAGTCTATCTTAGAGAACCAAGATGCCCCTTGCAACTGATCTGAAAGATCATCGATCCTAGGTAACGGATACCGGTTTTTAACCGTCAACTTGTTCAACTTCTGGTAATAAATACACATCCGGTGTGAACCATCCTTTTTCTTGGAGAAAAGAATCAGCGCTCCCCAAGGTGAGGTACTCGGTTGAATAAACCCCTTTCCCAACAGCTCCTGAAGCTGCGAGGATAACTCCTGCATTTCTGGTGGAGCGAGGCGATAAGGTGCCTTGGCGATGGGCACCGCTCCCGGAACCAGATCGCTACGGAACTCCACTTTCCTGTCCGGAGCCATGCCTAGCAGTTCCTCGGGAAACACATCTGAAAACTCGCACACTACTGGAACCTCGTCAACCGAATTTGACCTCCCCGCGGCCACTCGTGTGTCCATCACATAGGATATGAATCCACTGCAGCCCTGCTGCAAACTCTGTCTCGCCCTGGTAGCCGAACAAAACGCTGACCACACCGGGTCACCTCACCATACACAGTAAGCACTCCCCCACTAGGGTCTCGTATAGTCACCAGCTATCTCTCGCAATCAATAACTGCTCCAAACTTACTCAACCAGTCCATGCCCATGATGATGCAGACATCTCCATTGCTATAGGAACCAAATCTACAGGGAACTTAACACCAAAAATCTCGAGCACACATCCTCGAATCACGTC